GTGTGTGCCTGACCTCTCGTCCGAAAGACAGATGATACATTCGATGCATTCGATTCTGTTCAATCCAAATCGCTACCTTGAAAAGACGGGATTGAAGCCGTGGTTGCCTGATGGCACGCACGGAACAAGTCAGAAAATCGAACAGTTTTCAGACCAAAGAGTTTTCGGCCGAGTTTGATTTGTGGAGATCAACATAAAATATGATCAGGTGTGTTCCCGGGGCACAGAAACAATCAACTGCCAGTGCAAAGTTGCTGAATCTGTCTGTATTTGATTGGGGATTGCGGGACATTGTTGGCATCACAGACAGATTTCGCCTGATTATCTTCCGGGAGCCAGTGGAGAGATGTGGAACGCAGTAGGTACTTGGAAATAGTCGAAAAATGGGTTCGAACCATGAAACCGAACATCATCAATCTCATTGTTCTGTTAGGATTCCTGTATAGAATAGACATTAAAGTGGGAAGAATGAGAACATTCCCGTATCTTATTCAGCTATCGTTCCAGTAAATACTCTCACCCTTATTTTTGAATCAAACGTCTCTCGTTTGTTCGAATCTCATGTCTCCATTTCATCATCATCATCATCATTTCATCCATCAAAGAGCCCCCAATAATCTGCTCTGTGCTACAATGTAGTTCCCCCCTCTCCCGGTACAGAGTGAACAGGAAGTAAAGGAAAAAGCTGGAAACCAGTATACAACTGTTTCTACCAACCGAATCCTGGTGCTGTGTGAACGACTACTGGTTCAGAAAAGTCGCACATAAGTCAAAGGGCGCCCTTTCGCGATGAGTATTAAAAATCGATGAGGAGAATGGTAGTGGTGAGAGGAGAGAGTAACTTTACTTTTCGCAATTCAAGTTGTCCGAATATTATTTCAAGATGTCCAACTATCAATTCAAAATGTTCGAGTATCATTTCAAGTCACTTGAGCATGTCTCGTTGACCTCATCGGACCCCCGATTCTTGTGCTTCTCAAGCCTCCCAGCGATCTCTGAATGATCACCATGTAGTATAAATTTCTCAAACTCTTGTTGAAGCACAGGATTAACAGGATTGTGAGACGTTCTTCGGTCACACACAATTTGCATGACTTGTTTTGATTGCTTACCTTGCCAGTACTCGTACGCGTCTGTGGGCATGTTCGTCCGCCTCTCCTTGAAAATTCACATTGAACCATGCTCCGTTGATCCCAATGTATCATGCGCGATCAATCTTTAGTCACTACTTATATCCAGCATATGATACTTCAATAGAATTCACAAGCATTTTTGAAGAGCAGCCCAACATTTTAACTTAGAATCGCTTATAAAATTCCATACTCATAATAAAATTTATGGTATATTTATTTACGTTATTTCAATCGCTATTAGTCTACTTGAGGTATCTCATTCCGTTCTGGATATATGCTGAAACTAGTCATTTTGAGTGTTCAGCACTTGAAGGGAAGAATTTTTGTTGGTTCTTCTGTGGCAATAACACAGAGATGGAATACAATTTACAAGCTCCGCGCGAACTGGATGCAAATCTGACCGACACTGATGCGCATTTCAATCGAGCATGATTGATTCTTGTCCCAGTGCAGCTACTTGAGGTTTAGATTATGAATTCTATTGCAGCATCATGCGATGGATGTAAGCAATGACTCAAGCAGTGATCACGCATGATTCATTTGTATCGGCTTAGAATGGATCGATATCACTTTTCAAGGGGGAGGGGAACGAACGTGCACTCAGAGACGCGTACGCGTGCTAGCAAGGTAAATGATCCAGATTTATCACAGGAATTGAACTCTGTGTGTGTGTGTGTGTGTGTGTGACCGAGGTACGTCGCAGAATCGTCACCCCTGTGATTCAGTAGGAGGCTGAGAAGTTAATACTGCATTGCGGTCATCCAGACATCGGTGGGAGGCTTGAAAAGTTCATCAGTACATGATTTTCATAGAACTTGAAACGACAGCCGAACATCTTGAAATGATATCTGGACAGCTTGAATTGCAAAGGTTAGAGGGATAGACCATGCAGTATTTGGTCACCTCGAATGGAGAACTTTACTCAAAAACATCACGCATAAACGTATCCGTAGTCTGTCTTTGAAGTCCGCTGCAAACAACCAAATTCAAATCACTGCAAAACCTGCACGATTTCTCTATACCGTCATTCGTTGTGCTATCGCACGAATTCCGTCCAATTGTGTCATGAGAATCCATTCAACAGTCACGTGGTAGATACGTGATCTTATACCTCCTTTTAGTATGAGGTCATGATGACCGACATCGATCAGGTAGATGCTTCTCGTATGGGGTGTAAATCTGAGACCACCGGAAGAATTACAGTTATTGAAAGCATGAACAATCCTTTTGTGTGGAACGTTTCATGTTTGAAATGCAGTTTATTGAGAACGAATACAACTCGTGCTTAGAGTT